ATGGCTTCTGTCAAGTCTTCAACAAAAGTAGACTTTCAAATGCTGCATACGCTTAGTCATTCTGACTTCAATGCTCTCCTTTTTTTCCCCTGCTCTGTTGGTGAACCAGTGGGACATGGACTAATTATACTTTTCAGGGACAGTGGACAATGATTATGGATTGTTGGATATGTTCCACTGTTTCTACGGGCTTCCACATAACTGGAATGTTTACTCTTGGCTCCAGCTTGTCAGGCTCTTCTCTAAGCAGAGCATTTTGTTTGATAGAGCTGTGGTTATCAAAAGGAGGAGTACAGAAAAGCTTTCAGCAAATAAACAGAGCTTTTGAGCGCAGGCTTATTGGTGCTGCTGTTGCAGAAAGAACAATATTAATATTAAATGGCTGAACCAGAGTATTCCCAAGGAGATGGTGCAATGTAGAAGGATTTCAGAAAGCCATGGAATTTTTAGGCCCAATACCTTAATAGTAGTGTTGTGTAATTGTGTGGTTAGTTGGGATGATGGTTCATATCTTATCTGTAAAAGCAAAGGAATGAGTAATTCTGTTAAAATGGGGCTGAAGATGTGTCATACAACTTCAGCAGTAGCATTTTCTGAATGAGCTCTGCGAGTGTGATTTGTTTATGGAGCTGTTAGGGTGGTGGTTTGAAATACATATTCCTTGGGATATCAAATTCGTATTTCTCAAAACATGCATTTTCAAAATTGCAGAAAATTGAGAACAATTACGTCCTTGGATTTTTTTTCAGATAGTGAATTTGTATTTAATAAGAAGAAAACTGTGTTTAGTAGAGTAACTGCTTGCTTAAGGCTTGGGTTTGTGCAGGTTTATATTTCCTTTAATGCCTTTTTGCAGTTCCTCCCTTGTCCCATGTCCTCCAAGTAATGCCCTGCAAGAGTCAGCACATGCTGTGGATAGCTTGCTGAATAACTGTGGGAGTAGCTGTGCTGTTCAGGTGTCCTGCCTGGGCAGCTGTTGGGCCAGACAGAACATAGCACTGAAGCTTCTGATGAAGTGTTGGCAACTAAAGTTGCCAGTCTGATCTTTCTGTAGTTGTGCTATTTTTTTTGTTGTTGTTGTAATGAATCTTTTGGTATCTGTCCAGTTCAGATGGTGAATTAGCGGGGAGTAATCTGGGTACCAAAGGTATAAATGCTGAGTAATCTTCCCCCACCATAAACAGCAAGTTGTATGGCATAAGTTTCCCTGATATTTATCACAAGAGTCACTTTTGAATAGCTTTGAAACAAAAAATGTGATGACGTGGTCAATAAAAAATGAAGCAAAAATAAAAAGTTCTCACAGCAAACTTCTTTCTTTGCACAAGATTCAGTACTGTTGGTGACTTTAAAATGACTGTGGACAGACAACTACTTCAAGAAAATACAATTACGTGATGTGCATTCTGTCTCTGATACCAGTATTTTTTAAATTTTATTTTTCAATTTTCATTTCATCCTGTGGTATTGCACAGCTCTCTGCCATTTGTGTTTTTTTAGATGGCTGAAAATTGTTTTGTGGTTCACTTGAAGCATAATCAATGCTGTGTTGTGGATCCCTGTCAAGTCAGATGATGGTAGCAGAAGTATAGCTAGACAGGTCACCAGCAAACAAGGGAAGACAACGGGCCTTTTATTGGGCTCTGAATGCCTGCTTGGAATGGCTGCTGATGTTCAAAGCATTGTGTGCCACTTCAGACAGAAATATGTGCCTTTCCATGGTTTCTGGTGTGGTTCTAAAACTTCATAAAATCCAGCTTTCTAAAGGACTTAAGTCAGAATTGTGTAGGTTGGAAAAAACCTTTAAGATCATCAAGCCCAACTGTAGTAGGAAGACAAAACAGCCTATTTTTAGCATAAGCATGGTCTGAAATGCCCTTATGAGGATGTGATTTACCCTTTGTATTCCAGTCATGTTGTACACCCACTTAAAATCTTGTGGTTTCTTTCCATCATTCCCACTAATCCAAACTACTCTTATCTGTCGTGGGTGTCTGGTTTTGGTTTAAGACTTGTCCATTTTAAGAACTTCTAAGAAATTGTACTTCCTCTGATAACTCTTTAGGCCAAGAAACCTGGGTGAAATTTAATTTGCATTTGGTGTGGTAAATGTTTTACACTGCGTTTGTACAGCTCCTGCAGTCAGACTTTGGTACAATGGAATGTCTTGAGGTGTGTGTGACTAAGTAGGTTCTTTGTCTTAGTGGTTGTCCATTAGTGAAACTGGTAGTAAAATTGGTTGCCCATTTAGTAAAACTGTTCTCTGTGCTACCAGCAACAGAAGAACACAAGAGTGCCTGGCAGTTTGTTTAAATTAATTACCGTAGTGACTTGAAGCATATTTCGTTTGTTACTTCCTTTTGTGGTTAGGTATTTAGAAGGAATTAGTTGCTCCAGGAAACACTTTTGGAAGCCTGTTTTCTGAAGGTTTGCGAAAATTGCAGTGCAATGGCAGGAGCCGATGCCTTTAAGACGCTTGCATCACTTTAAACGAACAGGTGTTTGTTCAGCACAGTCCTCCTCCGTTCCTGTTTGCATATTCATGGAACTCTATCTACTATGGCTCTGTAGCTGGTAATGAACTGAAGGCACGCAGCACCTTGTTTTCTGAGTCCTCATAGAAATTGCCTCTAGTGGTCCTGATGGCCTGAGACATTGACATGGAGCTGGGGTGGTTTTTTTGTTTGAATTGTTTGTTGTTGGGGGTTTTTATTTGTTTGTTTTGAGGGATTTTTTTTTTCTGTTTTCTTCCCCCCTCACTCTAAATGCTCAGGCACTTTAGGAGGAGGATGAAGCAGAAAACTGGGAGGGAAAAACGTGAAAAACTGGGTTGTGGTTTGTTGCTGTGAGTTGATCTCCTTCAGGTTTCAATGGTAGCAGTGACATGGTTATTGTGATGAGTTTCTTTGATCTGACTTGTTTTGGGTGGCAGGAGAAGGAGAAGTAATTGGATGCTCTGGTATGGGTGGGGAAGAGGCCCTCCTCTGTCATTTGCCAGCACAACCCAGGCTGGATGCAAACTGATTATCATGGTAGAGCCCCAAGTGTTACAATGCTGGGTGCAGAATGAAGTAGGGACTGTTGTAACATTTGTCTTTCTGCTTGTCTGAAATTAAGCACAATTTTTCTTTCCTTCAATGTTTCCTGATGTTCTTTACAATATTGAAGTTGAGGTTGGGAAGGGACTGTGTGGATTTGAACACCACCAACTCCTGCTGCTAGAGATTCTGTAAATAGCCACAAGCAGAACTTCTCTTCCTCCTAGCAATCATATGACTGCTGCTTGTATAGTTATACTCACAAATCTAAGTATGGAAATACTACTGCTGGCTCACTTCAGGCTATTCACTGCAAGTTTAAAGCTGCACACATAAATATTCTGACTTTATATGTTTTATTACCAAAAAGTTGTGAAAGATCGATACTGTTAAAACAGTAATTCTTGATATTAGCTTTTACTTTAGAACAGACTTGTGACTTTTTTGACTGTTTGTCTTTTAATTTTGTATAAAGATGTATTAAACAAATATATTAAGCTTAATTTTATCTATTGCTATACTGTAAGTGACTGTTTAATTTTGAGAACTCAAATCAGTGAGTTGAACTTGACCCTGTTGTGGAGTACAATTGCGGAATGAATGCAGAATTGCTGAGTTTGAGGTAGTAACTACTGATCTTAGCTCTAAATTAGCTATATAAATACTAATTTAAAAATATCTTTTGATCATTAGATCTGTTTCCTGTTGTTGTTTGTTACTATCCAGTAGATGATGATAATGTTGGTAATAAGGACTGTTAGATGTTGAATATGCAATTGGACTATTTAGAACTGAAACATCACATATGAAATATGTATTTAGGATGTCTGCCTAATCTCTCTAATGCTGAGCAATCTTTGAAATGACCTATAAGATTTATCATGTTTGCCAAGTAGTTTGGGGAAGATACTGAAGTGGGAGTATTCCAGCTTCTACCTTGATTTGCCAACTTTCAGAGCAATCAGTTTTGCTGCTCTTGGTTGTTAGAGTCTGAAGGTCACTGGGGAAAATGTTGAAAACCTGACACTTGCAGAGACAGAGGGCGTGTTTGTAGTTGGCAAATAGGAGGGGTGGTCAGGGCTATTTCAGAAAGGGTGTGGGAAGAAAAGGTATGCATCATGAAAACAAAGCTTTTTTGACTGCTTCTCTGGAAGAAACCTGTTCTAAAAGGGCACTGTGATTTCTGAGGGCAGCTAATGTTTGGTGTTATTGTTTGGGTGCATATTCAGGTTACTTGCAGAATAGTCTGAAGGGCTTAAAACATGTCAAGTTAAAACTCCTGTGTCTTGTTTAGTTTTGAAAACACCTTTCCTCTTGTTTTGCTCAGGAATTGGAGCTTGTGGTGAGAATTTTGCAAGTGGTTAAACTTTTGCTCACTCACAACTACAATTAGAAAATTAAATTGGAGCAAGAGTATTTTTACCCCTTATATCATACCATCACTCAAATGTATGTGGTATTGTAGAAACTGCATCATGGTAACAAAAGCTGTTGGAAAAACAGTTCTTGTACTCAAATAGTAATTAAAAGTATAAATACTGAACCTTGGATTCTTTAAAATCTACCATTTGAGGCTTAAGGCATATGGAATCTCTTAAAACAGTTTTAAGCCCTGAAGTACAGTAAGGGAATGTGTAGAATTAGGTGAAGGAGAAGAATCTTAAAGATTGCAAGTAGAAATTAGGTGCTTTGCATTTCATAAGCACATGCTACAAATACTTTGTAAAAGGAGTGTTGAATGGTGAAATTAGATGCTGGGATCTGCTTGCCCTGCTGTGACAGGCAACTTTAGGTATTTCGACAGGTACATGGTGCACCAGTCAGTTGTTACAGCAGCTCAGTCTGGAATATAAATTATGCAGCCACACACTTTAATGGTTTAATGTATTAACAATAGCAAATATAAATAGCTTCTGAATTAAGGTATTTTCTCTGATTAATCTTTGTTGTGGTTTTTTTAAGGTGTGCAAACAGATTTGGCTAGGCCTATTTGATGATAGATCATCAGCAATTCCAGACTTCAGGGATCCACAGAAAGTAAAGGAATTTCTACAGGAAAAATATGAAAAGAAAAGATGGTAAGATACCTTTACTATTATAAAGATTGCCCCTATGAGGAGAAGTGAAGATGGACTGTTTGCTCTCATTTTGAGTGTTATTTCCTTCTTTGAGTGTGCTCTTCAGACTAGATTACACAGCTGTGTAAAGTGAAATGGTTTCTGAACTTTATGTAGAGCTCCTACAGAAAGCAGAGAAGACAAACTAAACAAGTTTCTCAGTGTTCATATGGATGGAACAGAAATGGCTTAAGAGAATGTCAACAACAAACTGGTTTTTTGCAAACTGTTATTTCCCATACAATTTATTAGCATGGGAAAGGCATGTTTTGTATTGAATAAGTGCTAAAAGTATTGATGACTTTAAATTCTAGTCCATTAAAAAAAATCTCTCATATTTAAAGAATGGGTACTTTGCAAACTACTGATCCAGTCTATTGCAGGACCAGGGTTTCAGGAGCTAAGCTGAGATCTGCCAGTTATCAACTTCAGACTCAACAACTTCTCATGTGAAACTTGTAAAAACCATTGCTCTTCTTGCATGTAGGTATGTTCCTCCAGAGCAAGCAAAGGTGGTGGCATCAGTCCATGCATCCATATCGGGCTCTTCTGCCAGTAGTACAAGCAGCACACCTGAGGTGAAGCCACTGAAATCTCTCTTGGGAGAAGCTGCACCCGCACTGCACTTAAACAAGGGCACACCTAGCCAAGTGAGTAATGATTGTTGAGGAGCACAGAACCGTTCTGCAGTTCCTTGTTACTCTTTCCATGGCACAGAAATTCTTGCAGTAACAGCTGCTGTGACTGTAGGAGCTAATATGATCACTGTATGTCATATATTTTACTGAAGTTTGCAGATCAGGTACTAAATGAAGCTTGTTTCTATTGACCAAATTGATTTTTTAGTGGTTATTTTCAGTGAAGAGTTTTCCAATGTGATAGGATTGTCTTTTTCATAAATACCTCTAAAGTTCAGACCTAATGTGTTATATTTTCATTTTTGCATTTTCTCTTTGAAAATAAGAAAATTATTGATGTTGTTAACTGAGATTAGTAGTGAATATGTGGATGAAAACATGTCATATTTATTATGGCTTCCTCTGCATTCCGAAACTGTCTTAATTGGCTTTCAGGAGGCATCTGTATGCTGTAATGTAAAGTCAAACAACACTGCATACTTAGATTTTTGGAGGGAAGACAGTTTGTTTGAAAACTGCCATCAAGATACAGGCAACTCTTGAATGGACCTCTTTTAACACAAACAGTAGAAAATTGCAACTTCAAGCCCTGCTATTAAATTCTTCAATTTTTCTCTCCTTATACTGAATTCTAATGATTTTTTCAGAATGTAGTGAATAACAATTTTCTGGGTTGTAAAATTAAGTTTTATTGCTTGTATTTGTACAGTATTTACAGATTCAAATACAAAATCTGAAGTTGCTAATAATATATTGCTACTTTAGTCTTCTGGGTGCTATTAAACCATGTAGATCTGCAACAGAGTTCCTTTAAGAGCCAGAGCAGGAGCATAAATAGTCTTTCTCATACTGTAGGAGGAGGGTGTGTGCTACATACAGCATCTTAAACTTCAGGAATAAATGTCCTGTTAAAGAAATAAGCTTAGTCTAGCCTTCTAATATTTTGTAAATGTCAGTTTGGTTAAATATCGCCTTTTTGTAGTAGCTAATTGAAATCTTGTTTGTAGTCTCCTGTTGTAGTTCGATCTCAAGGACAGCAGCAGCAAGAAAAGAAACAATTTGACCTCCTCAGTGACCTTGGCTCAGATATCTTTGCTGCTGCCCCTCCTCAGTCAACTGCTACAGCGAATTTTGCTAATTTTGCACACTTCAACAGTCATACAGGTAGGTATTTGGACCACTGTATCCCTTTTAATTGTATAAAATGTAGTTTTAATTTTGATGGCTTTTGACTAAACTTCATGAGGTATATGTAATCTCAGTGCCTTAGGAATGTTGTATTGTTGAAAGTTTATTTCAGGTCTTTATAAAGAAGGGTTGAAGACATAAAGAGTGATGATTCTGCTTTGGGAAGTGGGGGTTGCTATAGCTATTTTCTAGGATATGTATGATTACACTGCTTCTGCCTACTACTAAACTTTAGGTTCTTTGGGGGAGAGAGTGAGAGGATGAGTAATAAAATGTTGGGAGAAGTTGATATTAGACCTTCAATTTTCTTTCTGAAAATTATTAGGAAGAGCATTCATGAAAAGCAAGCAGATACAGAGACTTAAAAGGAGTTCAAATGCATTGATAATAACTGCCAATTTGTCAAAGGAAAAACCAAGGCTTAGCCAGTTTAAAGAGTGATCTCATCTTTTGTGTGTGTGTCTGTTTGAAAGCTGAGTACTGCCCATGTGAGCAGTATTCTGTAGTTTCAGGGAGGATAAACAAGCCTGGAGCATATGTATTGACTGAGGAAAGAGGATAGGCCTTGAATTCTTAGAGGATGACTTCAGTAAAATATATTGAACCCTCAGGGTTTTTTTTCCCAGCCAAAGCCCAAGAGCCGTGGAAGTGTATCCTAAAGACAAACTCAGTTCTGTGGTCACTGAAGTTTGTTGTTGCTAGCTTGCCTTGTAGTTGTGGGAAAGTACCTTTGCCTGCCTGGTCTGAATGGGCTTTTCATCTAGTTGTTCTGACAGAAACTGTGATGCTGCTAAGCCACTCAGAGAGATTTCTTGCAAATCAGTCCTGAAACTGTTAACAGCCAAGATAAAGTATCCAGTATAGACTGGACTTAAGGTTCACAGCTGAGGAACTGAGCAAAATACCAAGATTTATCCAAATTAATGTGAAATAAATGTCTGAATTCAGTAACACTGTAACAGCAATTGTTACTCTCTGTGTTCTGTAAAATCCTTAAAATTAGATTTCTTGTTAGTCATAATTTTGGGGGTGTATTTAACTTGTGCTGCCAATACTGTATAGTGTTACTGAAAAGGCTGCAGATGGTTAATTCTTTCTAATAATTTCTTTCAGACTTGTTGCTGAATGATTCTTTATTTATATACCCTTTATTATTCTTAGTGCTTTTTAGGAGGTAAAAATTCCATTAAAGCAGTATTTCAGTACTGTGTTCCAAATCTAAGTAAAATTCCATTGCATCTCTGCTGGATAATTTTTAGAAGGATAGAAAGCTATAGGAACACTCCAGAATAAATAAAATCTGAGGAGAGAGCCTGTTAATTTCTGGTCACAAACAAACCATTGTGGTCATTCCCGTGACTTCTTACCATAGGTTTTAGAGCCCCAAGCAGTATCAGGGCTAGTAAATCAGTTTCTAAAAGACAGAATCCTGATTCTGAGTGTGTGACAGCTGAATGTGTATTGCAGACTTGCTACCTGAGGGTGTTTTCTGACTTGCTGTAGTAAAATGCTTGTAAGGCTTATCTTGTGTGCATTAAGTACAGGGTGCTGTTAGTGAAAAGAATAACAAAATGTTACAGACTCTTCCTTTGGAACACAAGGAGGGTTGATCAGTCTGCCAGCTTTGGCAAAAATGAGTTTGAAATGCTCATTAAGGAGCTGTGTAAACATGTAATTTTTGTTAGCAATTACACACTGCTAAGGAGAATGGGAGAATTTGCACTTAGTCCAGCACTACTTTCTTGAAGTTTATGGTCTGGTCTTCTTGTTTTAGAGCTTGGTTTTGGCTGTGTTTATAAGGGATGGAGTTTTTTCCCTTCCTGTACACAATACCAACTAAATCACTGAAGAGACCAGCAAACATAAGATCCTTCAGTATGAGTTACTGAGTGCAGCAGCTGATAGGAAAATATTAACAAACTTGTGCTGTAATCTGTGAAGTGTAGGTGTAAATCTTGAAAATTATGCAGGAACTGCAATTTGTGATGTGTTTCTGCTTTCCAAGTTCTTTAATGTATTAAGCTGGTTCAGGATATTGTTGCTAATTGAAGGGGAAACATATTGACCTTATGTTTGCTGTTGGTATTTAGTTTACAAAGTTCTGTAATTTCTGCAAAATCGAGATTTTGCAGATGGTACATGACTGATTTGTCTGTATTTTATAGATTGGTAATCGCAACAAGGATTAAATTTTTTGGCATGTAAATTTCTTAAAAACTGATGAAATAGATGACCTGCACAAAAGATTTTACAAAGGTGTAGTGACACAGCACAACTTTACTACAGATAACATGGGAGAAGAGGCTTTATCTAGAAAAAGCAAAATAGTGTAAGAGTTATTTTGTAGATTTTTTTTTTTACTTTGGGTATATGTAGATTTTATTTTAGTTTTTTTCTGTTTAGCAGTGTTTCATACCTTTATTGCATATGAGGTAGTACAAGCCTCAGAAGAAACTGCAGAGATTGTGAGAGCAGCTGGCATTGCCATGACTGGTGTTGTCATTCCTGGCTGTAGCCAACTGGCTCCTGTACTGCTTTGTTGGTCTGCAGTGTCAAGAGCAGCTGTAAATCCGTGGCAATCTGCAACCCTCTGCAGTTCCTGAACTTAGGATTGTTCTTGGGTTTTTGTGTGGAGAACTGAATTTTGGAATTGGCAATCTACATATTGTCCAGGTGCAGGAGAGTACAAGTCTTACCTGGTCTTTACTTTTGTGTCACATCTACAAAGGTTGAAGTTTTACTGCATAAAATAAAACGAGATTAATATCAGAATACTCTGCTGAAGAGGCTTTACAGCAATACTGTTTGAACATGGGCTCACTTGAAGGTCATCCTTTCTGTGGCAGCTGATACAGTAAAATGAAGTGTTTTGTGATGTAACACACTCCAGTTTTCCCATTTGGACCCAAAAGATATTTTATTTAAGATTCTTGACATAGTTTTCTGTTTGTGTGAGTGGTTAAAAGGAATAATCTTGCCCTTATTCTAGAAGTGACATTTACGTACTTAATCCTCTTTGGTCAACTAAACATCAGTCTCTTGCCTGTCCAATTGATGCATTAGGATGAAAGTATCACTTTCATTTTTAAAGTAAATTTTTAATCTATTCCTATTAAAAAACTACTGGTTTAAAAACCAAAACAACTCAAACTTTGGGATTTGGAGTCTGTAAAATGCTGTTTGAATCAATACAGCGGATATCATAGAAGTAATTTTTTGTCTGTTTGTGCCAACTTTTTGCATACTTCAAAGGTGAAAATAACTTTCCCAAGATCATGCTTTCGCTCTGATTTTTTTTTTCCTTGCTGACTCTCATGCTGTGGTGGGTTCCAGGTGCCCACAGGGCTGTATGTTCACTCTCCCATCAGCAGGCTGGGGGAGAAGACACAAAAAAGCTGATGAGTCAAGAGAAAGTAACTGGGCAAACCAGACTTGACTTAGTTTGTTGACACTTAATAATAGAGTAGGATAGGTAAAAAAATAAAACCAAACCCACCTTCATCCCTTCTTTTCACTCCTGACCATATTAGCTCCTCCTCATGAGGGAGCTGGGGAATGGGCATTGCAGTTAAGTAGTAAGATTTTGTCTCTGTTGCTACTCCTTCCTCATGCTGTTCCCCTGCTCCAGTGTGGTGTCCTTCCCCTGCCATGGGATATGGTCCTTCTCAAACTTCTTGGAATGTGAGCCCTTGCCCTTGGTGTCAGTTCTAGAACTGCTCCAGCATGGGCCCTTTCCCTGGGGTGCTGTCCTTCAGGCAGGGTCACAGCTCCTGCCAGAAAACCTGCTCCAGCAGCAGCTTTCCATGAGCTCCAGCCTCCTCAAGCCTTCCCTCCCTGCTCTGGCATGGCTCCTGCCCAGGCTGCAGTGTGAATGTGTTGCACCATGGTCCTTCATGGGCTGCAGTGGCACAGCTTTCCTTACCATGGTCTTCTCCATGGGCCTGGAGCATGTCCTTCCCTCCCTCTTAGCTGGCCTTGGTATCTGCAGTGTTTTCTCTTGCATTTTCCTCACTCCTCTCTGCCACAGCTGCTGCACACTGGTTTTTAACCTTTTTAAGCACAGTGCCCCAGCCAGCACTGCTGGTGTCCTTAGCTCTGGGCAGTGGTGGGGCAATCTTGGAGCTGCAGCAGCTGTGCAACAATGGGGGCAGCTTCTGTTCTCTCCTCACAGGGACCACCCTGGCTGCTCCCTGCTGCCAAAACCATGCTCTGTAACCTAATGCTTATGCACATGGTTTATTAAATGTGGTATTGAGTCCAGCCAGACCTCACCCTCTCTCCCAGGGTACTCTGGGAAAGAAAATGCAGGCACTTTCCTGCTAATTTATATTAGCAGCATTGTGGAGTACAGTAATTTGTATTAAAATGTCCTTTCAGTTTATAAGTCTGTGGTACAGATGCTTTTGAGTAGAAATTAATTGAAATAATAAAACTTCTAATTAGCAGTATCAGATTATTAAGTTACAGTACTTCAGCAATCAGCATAATTTATTCTCTTTGTATATACTTAATCTGTAAAATCTCTCTAGAATAAACAAATTTTAACCTAAAAATGTAATGTATTGCCATCTGTTATTCCAGAAGGTGTTTTGTGAACTTTCTTTGGATAGTAACTCAAGTTATCTTTATAAAAAGGTTTGGTTTGCATTTAATTAAAAACATTTTTTTCTTTCTTGCTTATAATAGTGTTTAAGGACTTGTGTGGAGCTTACCAGTTAGGTGTGCAATCCCTGTTGACTCTATAGATGTTTGAATGTCCAGCTGGTCAAAATCAGATTAGTGTTAACTTCTGTTTTCTCCTGTAGTATGGCACAAAAGGAAGGCGAAAACTGAAATTCTGTTTGAAATTTCCTTGGATTTTATTTTGTGGATACACTCTATGAATGCTATCTTCTTGCCACTGATACTGATTTTCCATATTTCTGTACTCTGATTTAGTTTTTTTAAAGAATGAATTTTCCAGTTAAATGAATTTATAAACCTAGCCAAAACTATTCAGGCTGTGCCAACCAGATCACCTGAGGAGGAAGAACTTGGTGTATGAGGAATTTGAATTGCCAGTATGTTACAAGAATACCTTCTGATTTTTATGCAAAAAGAAATGTTAGCCCACAAGTTCTAGTTTTGGAAACTAGGTATTTTGTACATTATGGCTGTTTTTCCTGAGCAACCAGCACTGTAAGCACTTAGGGTTAAGCTGGAGTGGATTCCATTGGTTCATGCAGTTGTGAGTAGCAGCTTGTGTGGGAAGGACAGAAGTGGCATTAATTGATCCAGCTCTGTGATTTGTGAGAGCTTGTTCAATTGTAGAATAACATGTAATTTTCTTCATGTCAAAAGCAGCACATGGTAGGACATAACCCTTGAAGGCTGTCATGACCATGAATTCAGTTAATACATCTGTTTTTGTGTTTATTTCCCATATCCATTAACATGTTTTGTTCCTTTGCGATTTACAGCGCAGAACTCTGCCAATGCAGGTTTTGCAAACTTTGATGCATTTGGACAGTCTAGTGGCTCGAGTAATTTTGGAGGTTTCCCCACAGCAAGTCAGTCTCCTTTTCAGCCCCAAAATACAGGTAGAAGTCCTAGCACTTTTGATTAATACTTAATTGAAATAATCCTTACCTTTATGTTGAAAGGTACCGAAGTTGAGTTTTTCTTGCATCTGCCTGCTTTAATGTGGTCAAGCCATCTGAAGCTCTGGGGAAACTCAAAATGAATTCCTTGTGTTTGGTGTTGATTTTTTTTTTCCCCTAATGCTACTCAGAAGTCTGATTTATGGCACTGTGTTTGTTAGCTCTACACCTGAAATAACTGTGAAAAGAATAAACTCTACTGCTTTTAATAAGTATTGAATTGACTCTGTCTTCTAAGAGAAGCACTTCAGCAGATCCAAAAGGATGTCACAGTACCAAGCAAGTGTGTGTCTATGCATATGTATAGCATGTGCACACACTTCAGTATGTTTGACTTCATGTGTAGAGCCTATTGCTGATTTATTTTGCTTTCCTTTAATTTGATCATGCTTTAGAACTTCTGCTTGAGTTTACACTTGCTGTTTGTCTAGATCTTTGGCTGACTGACTTTCTTTTCCTTTTTTTTTTCTTTTGAGTGTGGTGTTGTTTTAAACTTTTTTTTCAAATTTTCTTTCTCCCTTCTTATGTTAACTTTAACCCACACACAATTTCTGGCTGTCCAGCGTTCAGAACGCTTTCATCTAGCTGCAGTTTTGGTGAATTTACTTCAGCTTTTCCTCTCCAGGCTGTACACAGTAAGTTCCACGCAGTGGAAAACTCAGCTTGCTTCATTTTATGCCATTGTAGTATAGCACTTCCATTCCTACTGTTGCATATGTTTCAACTTGTTGCTTATGCTTTTAGAAAGTTGTGTTTCTGTTTTAGAAAGTTCTGTCGTATGAGTGGAATCATCAACCAACTGTTATAAAATGTGATACACTTAATGGAACAACTCACTTAAATTTAAGTATGTGACCTGCCTAGATTAAATTGTCTGGACAATGAAGAGATGGAAGCTCATGGTGTCATACTTGATCTGAAGTTCAGTTGTGTGGACTCACATCAAATTTCTAAAATTGATGTATCTCTGACTTCAGTGGAGATTTGTTATAAAAGAGCTGTGCTGTGTCTTCCCCCAGCCTGCTTCTGATTGGATGCAGTCTAAAACTCTTGAGAACAGAGAACCAAACTCTCTAAACCTGGGCATGAAATCACATAACTTTTGGACTTCCAGGCACTTTTTTTTTTTGCTTAGGATTATGGCTGACACCTGAAATGATTAAACATTGAACCACTAAGTAAATGTAAATAGTAGCTATTTGTTAGCTGCATATGGTAGGGAAATGAAGCTTCTGTATTTTGAATATTAAAGATTAAGACAAATCTTTTTCCAGGAAGCTTTTATTATTGAAATTACTTTTAACAGCTAAAAATAGCATATAGTTTTCAGGATCAAATTGTGACTGTGATTTAAAGTGTTGAAGTTTGGGGTGTTTATCCCTGGTATGCAGTCAAAACACTGTATTATAATTTTTTTCTGATGGCCCACTGAACTCTGAAGGAAATGGGAAAGAGCCTTAAATGGGTAGGATGGGGCAGGCAAACACATTGCCTCACATAGCCACAAAGGGAGGGTATTGTACCATCAGTTACAGTTGGAGAGACTGTCTAACTTTGGAGCATTGATCATGTTTAACTTAATTTGTTACAGGTGGAAGTGCTGGATCAGTGAATGCTAATTTTGCTCACTTTGATAACTTCCCCAAATCCTCCAGTGCTGATTTTGGATCCTTCAATGCTTCTCAGAGCAACGCCACAGCAACTGCAGCCAGTAAAGCTGCAGTGAATAAACTGAATCTTCAGTCAGCTGACAAATATGCAGCTCTTGCTAATTTAGATAATATCTTCAGTGCAGGGCAAGGTATTAAACTTTATTTTTTGCCATGGTTATTCTATATGTGTGTAGTTACCACAAGGATGACTGTGCCTGTCGAAGTACTGTAACACTATTTCAAAATTTCCCTTCTCTAAGTGATCTCTAGAATTTTGTGTCAATGTACCCTTAAATGTGCAAGGTACGAGTTTTAAGACATTATTCCAAAAGGATGTCAAGGAGACTGCTTTTTGGGAATCTATTTCCCATTGAGGTGAATAATTCAAAATTAAAATATCTAAATAATCATTGCTTCAATAATGAAAACATACAAAAATACAAATACGTATTTTATATTTGTACTAAAATCGATCGTGGATGCTCTGGAATGAAGAGCTGCAGTTGTTGCAAAGAGCTGTCAGAGCAGCTTTCTTACCTGTCTGCCACAAAAACATCTGGCTTTAGTTTTTCATAAAATAGTAGCTGTGATATTTGGATTTAGTTGATAGTAAATTGAGGAGAAAAAGTTAGTTATTCTGTTACTCAAATATAGTTCTTCTTGAATTGTGTGTTAAAAATTATGTTCATTTGTACTCCAGAGGTTTGTTCTGAAATGGATTATTTGAGGTTAGGCGTTCTGATAATTTTCTAGTTGAAGATGAATGGATTATTTCTCTAGGAAAATGAAAGCTCTTTGGGGCTGCAGAGTACCTGCAGGACATTCTGCTAACAGCTAATGCCTTGTTAAATACTTTTTCCTCTATGCCCTGGTGCATATTTAATCTTTAAGTCTGCAACTGTCTGTGAACTTTTGTTTAGTTCTCAATGTCAGCAGGGCAGAAAGTGAAACCATCTCAGTACGCTTAATCTGCTTGCTTTCTTTCTAGGTGGGAGTGAGCAGGGAAGTGGCTTCAGCACAGCAGTGTCCTCAGCAGGCCCTGCCTTGTCAGCCCCCAACCAGTCAAGTGCATCTTCGGACAAGTACGCGGCGCTGGCGGAGCTGGACAGCGTGTTCAGCTCCACGGCCACCTCCAGCAACGCGTACACGGCCACCAGTAACGTCAGCAGGTATGCAGCACAGAGCAGCTGGGAGCCCTTGCTCAAACCTGGTGTTCTTGTCTAAATGGGGAAGCACTGAATGAGTTTAGAGGTACTGCTGGAACTGCAGCTCTTGTTTTCAATAATGGCAGGACTGAGGGATAGCATACTCTAGGAATACTGTCAGTGGAATGTTCTCTGCATCTTTCTAGTCATGACATGCTAAACTTGTTAGATGGTAGCACTTTGCTCTGCAGAGTACTTGTGTGCATACTCAAAATCATAGGATCATCCCTGAAAAAAGAATTCAGTTATTTATAATGTAAATGGTGCCATCCATTTCTTTTCTGTATCACTGAAGTAACAAATACCAAATGCCTGTTAGGGGCTTGTCATTGCAAGTGCCCCTAAGGCTTCTGCTAAGCAACCTTTATGCTGTTGGCCTTAGCTCTATATTCCTTCTCCTGCTGTTGGTGGAGATGACATTCCATTGCTCAGCACTAGTGAGTGTCTGACCCTGCCATCACGAAGGTACTTTGCAGTCTGCAAACTGCACAAAAGTATTCATCCCCTTTCTTTTACATGCCAGCAGTAACTGTAAATTCTATTTAATTATTAAATAAGCAATTCTGACTTCACTGAATGAATTGTATAAATTATTTCCAGCAATGCTTTTGGAACAGTACCTGTAGCTGCTACTGCACAGACACAGCCTGCATCTTCAAGTGTGCCTGCTCCATTTGGAGGTATGGAAGTGTTACTAGCACCCTTTGGGGACTGTAAGCAAGCAGTCTAGTAATTTTTACTTGATAATTCTCTGCTTTGATACCGCTGCTACTGAAGCTAATAAAGGTACTATTAACAAAAAAGTACCTCTGTCAAAATAACTGTATTTTTAATGTGTCTTTTACATTCTTGATTTTTGGCCTAATTTTAGGCATTTGTGTGTTTGATAAAGGCTGTATAGACTTCATGTGAGTCAGATTTGCTGTTAGAGAAATGCTTGCTTAATAAAATATCTTTAATCTTTCAGCAACACCTTCCACAAATCCATTTGTAGCTGCCCCTGTTGCCCCGGTGGCACCTTCAACAAATCCATTCCAGACCAATAGCCGAGGAGCAACAGGTTAGAAAAAAAATACATTGAGTGTTTGGGAAACTTTCTTTAAAGAATTGCATTGATTCTTTTTTCCTGTATCTGTGTAATATGTTTCTTAAAGATTTTCTGTATTATCTGTCCCTAGTCTATTTGATGTGTTGTGTGTTTGCTCAGTGTTGAGGTGCAATTCTAGGATTTCAAATGGTAGCAATGAAAAATGTCAAAATGATCTGTTTGAGCTCTACCTGTTTGTAGTGTATGTATCACCAGTTGGCTTCCTTCCAAGACTGTAACCTTGGCTTTAGAGCATGCTTTATAAAAGGAAGCCCTGAAATCAAGGATCTTGAAAGCCCTTCTTTTTAATTTATTTCTTTATTTTGAAGCGTTGAAAGCTCTCAAAACAAGAGCTGGAGCGAGAATCATTCCAAGGCTCTTGGGATGCTAGCTCCTCACCAGTCCACTTAATTAGTGTCTCTTTTTTAAAGTATATGTTTAATCTTTACACTTTCTTTTTTATATTAATTTTCTGTGGGATGATTCTGTAGAATCATGATTCTATAGGCAAAACTTAATCACTTTTTAAGAAAGCAAACTTCTACTTTTTAAAACTATGAACTTGGATTAGATGGCTGCTAGGTTATGCTGATTTTCCTCCCTAGAGCAACTGCTAAATTTTGACACTTTTATCTGTTAGCTGGACTTGAACAGATTAAAATCTGCTGATGTGTGCATTTTGCCATTTGAGTTGTGGTTTGCTCAGTGATTTAGGTACACTGAGTTAAAAACTGATTTGATAAATTTGTGTCCTCTGTTGAAATTATTTCTGTTTTCAATTCTTTTTGAGATATTATGCAGGTAAATTTGTTAGCTATCGTTAGATATTTAATGCCCCAAATACCCTTTTCTTTATTTTAATCCCATTTCTAAATGGGCTAGTTTGGATCATCATTAGGAATTTGTAGCCTCTTCAGATAAATTTCTTTGAATGTGGCACCTCTGTCCTTCCACCTTCTATACAGCTGTCCCTGGCTTGCTGAGGTTCCAAGCCTTTGGCAGCATTCTGATGTTCCACACTAAGTGACAGAGATAATGTCTATAAGTAAAGATAATGTTCAGCCCCTTTCAGTGTAAGGTGTAAACTTACAGCTTGTGCTTCTGTGTTCTTCCTGCATGAACTTTGCTATTTAGTACATGGGAGATCTGTTTTGTAGAGCTTGTCTGATGGTTTTCTAATACTAATCTGTTGCTGGTCATGCTGTTGATGAACTGTTTGGTACATATATGTCTATCTATTTCTCTATATATATATCTATAAAACTAAGAAATGACTGTTCAAGAGTGTATAAATGATTTGACATTGTCTGGTCTCTTTGTGGCTTCCATAAGGCCTCTCGGGAGCAATGCACTCTCACATATTTCCTCAGGCTCATTTTGGTAGGTGGCCACATTTGGTATTGAGTTTCTTGTGGCTAATTGTTCTTGCTTGTAAAAGCTTATTGACAGCTATCTGGTTCTCTGCACAAAGAATTGTGGAAGACTTCTTAAAAATGGAGTGGGTGTGGGTATTTGGCAGCTGGGCAGAGGGAGAGAAGAGCATACATAGACATCCTGTCGAGCAACCAAAACAAAACCATTATTGGTATCATCCATGGTCACCATGTAGTGCTTCTGAATGACTGTTGAAGTTTATGCCAACAGTAGTTTGATGCCTTTTGGGATATCCCAAGTCCCCTGCTGATTTTGTTGTGCTTCTTTTTGCTGTTTTAGCCAAGTTTGCTGTGGAGTAGCTGCTCTGCTCACTGTAACTTGAGAACAGTGTTAGTACCTTAGTTTTGCGTGCACTTGTCTACACTTTGTCTGTATAATGTCTTGCCCTTGAACGCTTTTGGGGTAAATACTTCAACTGTTAATTAAGCTGTATTAATTAAATTTATTTTATTAGCTTTTTTAAACAGTAGAACTTGCATAAAATGTAGCTTCTAACATATCAAAAGAGAAATCCTGTTTAACTAGCATAGAATACCTGGTGTCTGTGTTTGTACCAAAAATCTTCCTATACATTTCTCTTTTCAAGAATAACTCCCAAAAGACTGAATAATGGTTTTGTTACTATACTTTTGCACCTCATGTGCTCCTGTTTATTTGCTGAAGGCATGGGGAAATGCTTATGAGCTGTGTGTTCTTTACTTGAAATATTCAGCAGAGAATCAGATGAAAAGTTTTGGCCTCTTTTTGTTTTAAGTTCTACCTCAACAGTAAGAGGGTTTGCAACAAAACTTTGTGTGCAAATAACGTGCATGGTGAGAATCTCCTTAAAGACATTAAAGATGGGATGATAAAATGGGATGCATGTATCCCTTTGTTTTTTGTTTTATTTTTTTCATTTATAACCTCCTGTAGTGCAGCTTGAAGGAGGAAAATCCTTTCATGCTTTTCTCAGAAGGAGAAAAACAGAGGGGCTTAGGCTGCCTGAACCTGCTTGCTTCTTCTGTGTACAGACTTCTACCATAAAAAGTGTGGGGCAAATATATGGTAACACTGAGAACAAAAAATAATTTCCTCTTCAGAAAGTGTATCTGAATCTGCTGGATCTACTAAATTTTAAATAACACCATTCATTTTTAAAGTGTAAAGGCAAATTATGCACCCACTTCGTGGTGATGGAAGGGAACAAATCAGTTCAGTGGCTGTGGAAGTTGAATCAAACTTTCATCCAGTCAGAGAGGGCATTAGAAGACTTTTAACATGCCTTATAGCAATTTGTTTCATGAAAAAAAAGATGATTTCTTACAAATAATTGCATGTTATTTTTTGCCTACCAGCAGCAACATTTGGTACTGCATCCATGAGCATGCCGGCAGGATTTGGAACTCCTGCCTCCTACAGTCTTCCTACTAGTTATAGTGGCAACTTCCAGCAGCCCACGTTCCCAACCCAGGCAGCTTTCCCTCAACAGACTGCTTTTGCTCAGCAGCCCAATGGTAGGTCTGCATGTTTTAGCTAACCTTGTCTAAATCAGAAACATGGAGAAAATGGTCTGTCTGTAAGTTGGCAGTAACGGGAGGATATTTATTTCTGCATGAACTTGATGGTAATGTTGATGAAAGGTTCCCACACTCTTCTGGCTCTGTAGATGAGTCTTCTGACTTGGCTGGGTGCAAATGTGTAATTACCAACCTGAAATGGTACCAAAATCTCATACTAAAATGGTAAGTATTCCCACGCTTAAAGGGGTTTTAGGCAAGAAGGGCTCTTTGGGGATGTCTGGAACACACTATTACACTTGCTCTAACTTCATAGAACACAGGCAAGAGAAAATTGGAAAGTATTTTCTCCATGAATTTATATGATATAACATTGAAAAAAGCGTATATGTAGAAATTGGAGATTGATGAGTTGTGAACAGTTGAAAACAAACAAAAAGCCCAGCCACAGTGTTTTGCACTTACATTCCTGATCATGTTTAAGTAGGATCAGTCCTGCTGATACTGCAGTTCAAACTTAGTCTTAATTTTTGGCTGGGAGCTGCAGCAAAGAGCTCTTTGAACATTGTTTACTAGCATTAATATTTTTTTCTCTTTTCTTTCCAAGGAGCAGGTTTTGCTACATTTGGGCAAGCAAAGCCTGTAGTAACTCCTTTTGGACAAGTTGCAGCTGTTGGAGTATCTAGTAACCCTTTTATGGTGAGTTGTTAGATGTCAGTGACTTCTGTATGTCCAAAGAAGAATAGTCTGTAACAGTTAATTTAGAGATACACAAAGATTAGGGGGTTTCTTGCTTTTAATAAGGAAAGGAAGCATGTGACTCTCCTCACTGCCGCTCACTATTCGGATGATAATGCCATTTGCAAGGATGTTCAGATTGAAGCAGAGGTACATTCATACATGTTCCCAGAGTAGTGTAATTCCAGAGAAGCAGCAAAAAGCAGATTGCAGTATAAAACAGAAGTATTCCCCAGTAGGTTTTTTTTTAATATATTCTGCATTTATGATTTACAATGGGAAAAAAATCCTAAATATTTGCCTTATTTTTCTTTGTTCCTTTTCCCCCAGGCTGGTGCACCAACAGGACAATTTCCAACAGGAAGCTCATCAACCAATCCTTTCTTATAGCCTTATAGACACTTTACCCAAAAGAACTCTTATGTGGTCACATAACATCTCTGCGCCTCTTGCACTGTTGTCTTGTTTCACTGATATTAGCTTTAAACACAAAAGAAGTCTTTAAGAAGTAAAAATAAAAGCCTGCATTGTGTACCTTTAAAAAGTTTCAAAAAGAAAAAAAAAAACCCACCCGACACAAAAAACAAGAAAACCAACCCCCACCAGGTAATAACGTGCAAAACAGAGGGCTGTGGTAACATCCTTGAACCTGTGAAGTGGCAGGTAAAAAGTAGCGGTATCATGTGTATTAAAATTGGCTAATAAGTTATTGCAGATACCACACTCATTATGCTGCAGTACTGTACATATTTTTCTTAGAAAATAGCTATTTGTGCATATCAGTATTTGTAACTTTAACACATTGTTATGTGAAAAATGTTACTGGGGAATAGATCAGCCACTTTAAGGTGCTGTTGTATCTCTTGGAATGAATGAGCTGCATCATTTTAACCATTGGTATTGGAAGTCACGAAGTTAAATTGAAGGTTTGTTCATTTCTCAAAATGTTTTCCTTTCCTAAGAGCTCTTCTATTTATACATGCCTAAATCTCTAATGTTAGAGGGATACCTGTCTGCATAATAAAGCTGATCATGTTTTGCTACAGTTTGCAGGTGAAAAAATAAATATTAGAAAAAAATCCCTGTGTAGCATTATTTCTGTGCAGTAACATTTACTGGATGAAAATGTACACACTGTGTCTTGTACACAGATGAGGTGTCCAAACCAATGTGTTTAAAGGTGAGCTAAGCTTAAAATTTTCACATGCCTCACTTGGATGTGTTTCTTTTTGTCCTAGCTCAAGTGAAGTGACCTGTCACACAGGAGAGTGTTAGGTGAAGTTTGGATTGTTTGGATACAGTACATCATGAAGGACACTGGAAGCACTGTGAAGGGTAGTTTATTGGAGAGAAGGTTTGCAGCAAAAGACACCTTATTATGGGTAACTACTGCCAGGCTCTGAACAAGCCTTAGTTGTGGTCTGAACAGAGTGTGTAAGAGCAGGCCAAGGGACCACAGATGTAATAGCCCTCTTTATTAAAAACTGATACATATCAGTAAGAGCTCCTGTGGAATATTAATTTTTTTTTTAATTTACAGAAATATTTCCTGCCATACTACCATGAAATTTGTAGAGGGAAAATGTCTGGCTTGTCTTCCTCTGTAACAGTGATAAGGTTCAAGAAAAATATAACTGCATCAAAGTAGTTGGTGTTTTAAACAGATAATTTGGCTACAGTTCAAGTGCAATAATGGAACTAAGCAAATAATGTAAGTATATTGTGAATACATAAGCTGCAAGCTTAGAGGTTTCTGACCAGCTGGAGAATAAAATTCTAACAGCTTTCAGGATAACAGGAATAAGTAAAGTGAGATTGACCTTTTTTAAAAAGGACGTGCGAGTCCATTTGAGATAAACACGAAAATTCATCAAGGTAAGACATTTCACTTGCAATTGACTGTCTGAATGTCGGCTAGGTTTTTCTAGGGCATTTGAAAGGTTTGACCTCTGCTTGTAAAAACATTTATGTTAATGCTTTTGACTTTTGTTGCCTGCCTATGGGGGTTGTGATTTCTTTTTGTTTGTTTTTGTTTTTTAAACTTTGGAGATACCAAGCAGGAGATAGGAAGCTCATAAAACAAGCTGCAAGTTTTCTGTACTTAAATGTCTGGTTTTGTCCTGTTGGTGTATTTAAAACAGGCTTGAAGGCTCTCTTTTGTTTCTGATGGAGGCTGCTCAACAGTGTGGTGTTCAGTTCCCAACATTCTCTGGGGAATTCGCTGAAGAAATCCCCAGCAACTGGAGGTTTGCAGAGTATTAGTGACACCCTTACTCTCACCACTGTATTTCAGCACAGTGTAAATAGTTGTAACTCTCCCTGTTCCCCAGCCTTGGCTTTGGCTAGTAAGAGGTAAATGCACTGGAGAGTGGGGAACTGCAAGGGTTCAGTAGGCTTGTGAGATACTTAAAAATGCTGAGTGCTGAGAACTGGATCAAATCAAAGAGATGTCTTGTCAATGAGATGAAAAGTGTTATGAAAGAGCAACAATTCCGTGCCTTCTTCACTTAAAGTGGTGTAAATTAGGCTTTGGGCAAGGGCTAATGAAATCAGCATCTATAGAGATTGTTCTGATCCAAATATTACTGCTGAAATACTGAAATTGATTGAAGTATGCAAAGCGTGTAGTTTAGAATATGCTGTCAAAGTAATGGAATACTTTAGTTTTCATTACTGAATTAACTGCAGATAAAAAGTTTGCAACTTTTAACTATACACAAGCACACCTCTCTAGTCTGTGTTCATGGATTATAGCTTTGTCAAATTCTAGTTAAGCTGAAGATCTTGTATTGTTTTGAGTCTTCTGTATATTGAGCATAAACTGACACCATTAATTAGGTTTTAAAATGGCTTTATTTACAAAATGAATTTTTCATCCCTGATTTTAAATGTTTTTATTGTGGAAATCTCTGCAGTTGTTCCCTCAATTGTTCATGCAAATAGCATAGCTGCCTAAAAGCTGTATTTTTATGCTTTAGCATCAAAGCACTTCACTTGATAACTTTAGGCCTATTATACAGATATTAATATGAAGACCTCCTAGATTAGACTTCAGTCCTAAACATCAGCTGTTACAAGTGTGAGAAGATGTTACACTTGCAGGACCATCCTGAGTTCTGTAAGGCAGATGTGATGTCCAGTTGAAAAAGCCTTATGATTTCCAAAGGCCTCTGTGACAAATTTTCTGACAGGTCATTGTGTGTTTCAGCTGCTTTAGATTCCCTGGGCATGTCTGATGGTCTTTTGTCAGTAAATAAATTGCCTTAAATTGAAATACTCAGAAGAAGGGGAAGTCCCAAGGTTGTTCTATGAGTTCTTATGGTGTGAGATTCAGGCATATGTCCTTGTGCTCACTGAGCCTTAATAGAAGTTTGTATGTCAGATCACTCAACTTGAATTAGTAGACTGTTTGAGGAATGTTTGCATTAAACTGCTGGTGAAGAAAATGGAGTAAATGCATCATCCTGTTGACAAAGCTCTCTGTGCATTAGGCTCATAAACAGCTTGCTTCAACCTGGACCAGTTTGGCTTGATTGAACTTATTTTTCTCCTGATTTGTTGTCCAGATGATGGAGACTTCTGCATTGTTGCTTGTAACCATTGCTTTTGTCTCGGTTGTTAAGGGGCAGTGCTTTCAGCAGCCACACTTGTATTTCTGCATTTGATGGAAATTATGGTGTACATGCTTCTGATCAGGAAAATGCCAGTTATGACTGTGAAGTAGCTGCCATAAATGAGAAACTGGGAAATGGAGGTGGGGAAGGAGAAAAGTAGTTATCTAAGAGGAAGAACAGTTTTTGACTCTAAGGGGTCTCTCTCCATTGCTGCCTTCCCTTCCCTGTCACCTGTGCCCAGAATGACCCCATCTTGAGAGGATTCAACAAGTCTGGACTGCTTGACTTTACACTATAGAAATTCTGTGGTTGTAAAAGAGGGAGACAATGTTCTGATATGTCCTTCCCCACCTCAGTAAGGGAGGACAGCTGTTTTGCACTTTGTCTCTTCTCTGGAAACATGAAACCTGGAGTCTTAGACTCATTCAGTGTCTCAGTTTAAACTAATTTTAGAAATTTAATGGGGAATTGCAATGAGTTAATTTTCAGAATTACAGTAACTTTAAAGGTGCGTCCACTGGAACTATGTAACTTAGAATTACCCTAGTAATACACCAATAAGTTGTATTTCATCTGGCTTCCTGCTTCTGGTTAGGGTGTTTTGACTATAAACTTCTGAATAGTAAGCCTTTAATTTAAAGAATACCCAGAGTAATAGGTGGTCACCTTTCCCCTCTGTTCTGTAAACATAGACTATTTCCAGTCATCCCAGTATTGGAAGGCCTGGAGAACAAGCAGGTTGAGGTAGTTCAAGCCAGTTCATTTTAAATGAGTCTTTTTCCAGGTGAGTAACCGTCCTGAGCTTGCACATTACCACAGGCTAATCTTGGAGTAGAATCTGTTTTGGAGGAGAGATGGGGAACTAAGCAGTGGGACTCAGTGACTTACCTGAGTGCTGATATCCAGTCCCAGACCTCTTGAATCTACTACAACAACAGTTAAAATCGTCTGAATCACCAGTGCAACAAAGTTGTTGAAGCCAAACATCAAAGCATAACGCTCCATGCTGAGGTTGACAGCAATCTGAAACCTGACAATGAATGCACAGGTTCACAAAACTGTGGAGAGCAAGGACGGGTGGATGCACTTACGGGAACAGTTTAATGGGCACAGTGCACTCATCAAAGGACAAGATCATTTCAATCTTGGCTATTAAGCTTTATCAGCTTCATTTTGACAGAAAGTTATTGTTTTTTTCTGGCTTTGTGACTTTTGTGCATCTTAGTTACTCTCGAGTGAATATTTTTGCTAAATACCTGTGTATATTCATTGGATCACTTTGAGAATGCTCATGCATTGGTCATTGAACAGCCAAGTGCAGAAGGTACCTTGTTCTGACTTGGAGTGTACTATGGTAATGGTTAGGTCATATAATTTCACCCAGTTTTATACAGGCTAGAAACTATATGCTGCTGTCATAACCTATTTGTATTTATATCCAGGGAAATGCCCAGTAAAATTTTGATAAATATAAAAATTTGACAGTGATTTAAATCAATTTAGTTAGAACAGTTGTGTGCTGTACTTACGTTGCTATTGTTATAAGGAGCATATAGCAAGCTTTAAATGCAAGGTAACCAGCATAACATGCCCAGATGTTGTCAGTGAAGTGCATAAGAAGCAGAGAACCAGCATCCAGTGCAGAGAAAATTCCCAAAGCCAGTTCTCCAGAGAGATCCCAGTTTACTTTGACATATCCAACTGCCATGGATGTTGCTGAACCTAAAAATTGAAAAGTAGTAATTAAAACTGAAATACTGTCATTGAGAGCCATTGCATAACTGTCATTGGATCATGCCAGGAGCTCTTTGGTGTTGTGCACAGTGGACTTTCCCAGAGAGATCCCAGTTTACTTTGACATATCCAACTGCCATGGATGTTACTGAACCTAAAATTGAAAAGTAGTAATTAAAACTTTGCAACATTATCATTGAGAGCCATTGCATAACTGTTATTGGATCATGCCAGGAGCTCTTCAGTCTTGCTCACAGTGGACTTTGGAATAAAATGTTCCTCTGTGTTTAAGTGGAACTTTGCTGATTTTGTGCCCCTTGACTCTTGCCCTGTCACTGGGCACCACTGGGAAGAGCCTGGTTCCATCTTCTTTGCTTCTCTCCTTCAAGTCTCTGTGCACATTAATAAGATTACTTGTATTTCAAGGGTAAACAATTACAGTGCTCTCAGCCTTGTCACATCACAGAAATGGTTTCATAAAATATTCTAACTTGGAAGGGACCCACAAGGATCATCAAGTCAAACTCTGAAGTGAATGGCCCATACAGGGGTTGAACACACAGCCTTTGTTCTGGCAAACATGCCAATCAGGACACAGATGTAGTCACAGAATATTTGTTGAGGAGCACTTACACTGAAATGATTTTTAATCCAGTGTCTAAATAGACAATTTCACAGTATGCTCTGGGTAGTATTTAGAGTAGTTATCTGCTAACATGTTCTTCTAATTCTTAAACCAGCCAGCTTAAGGTGTATTTGAGGGAGGAGTATGCAAGATACCATTGCACAGGGTTCTTGATGTGCTTATTTGAGGTTAAAGACATGGTCTAAACAGAGCTGTATACTTAAAACTCTTAAAACATTTTGGCAGAATGAGTCTCCTCTAAGAATGAAAAGCTGATTTATATATGTTTTTTGAGACTAATTTTGAAGTGCCCACTGTAAAATTTTATAGTAAAATCATGCTTTGCACACTGTTTGTCTCTTTGCTTTAGTCCTCATAGGAGATGGAAAAGCAGGAAACACATTGCTGAAGAGTCCCTCAGCACAGGATGGGTTACAAGTACCTGCTAATGATTGCTTACCCAAAAAAGTTGCTATTGCTTCGACAGCTCCGTTGTACACGGCGGAGCTGTGCGAGGGGGCCCGGAAGTCCCACAGCACCTGGACATAATTCAGCACCTGGTTGAAGCCGGCCGTGGCCAGAGCCCACCACAGGGACCAGTAGAGGAGCTGGCGGGAGCCGTAGCATTGCCTCAGGTCCCTGCCCAGCTGCAGCAGCACGCTCAGCATGTGCCGCAGGGGCCCGGCATTGCCAGCCTGGGGCTGGGGGCCCGCGGCCCTGGCAGCAGGATCAGGGCTCCTTTCCTCTTGGCAGCTGGAGGGCCTGCGGGCAGCACTCACAGGCAGCCCCTTGGCAGGCCCTGGCACAGGCTCGGGGGCGTCTTTCCTGTGGAAGAACATGCTCCTCTGGGGCATGGGCAGGAAGAAGGCGCACAGGAACGCCAGGGACACGGAAGCCAAGGTGATGGCGTTGAGGTGGAAGTAGGACACGCCTGCTAGGGACACCAGCAGCTGTCCCAGCACGGCGGCCACGGTGGCTGCCACCAGAGTGACACTCCTGCAGTAGCTGGTGACCCTCTGGTAGTGCTGGGTGCTGACCACGCTGTAGATGTAGGCGTAATAGGCCACCTCGGTGGCTGTGACCATGCCATAGAAGAATTCCACCAGCTGCATGGCCAGCACTCCATGTGCAAAGAGCAGCAGGAGCCACGTGACGATGAGGCTGATGCCCTGCAGGAGGAGGACGGGCTTGTAGCGCACGTAGTCTGTGAGCAGGAACACTGGGAAAAGGAGAGCGAGGTAGGAGTATGTCCAGACTGGCAGAATCTGGTTGGTAACCTGGAACGCAATAAGAGAGGAAATGTTAAACAAAACAGCCTCAATCCCCCATATGTTTAAAATACCCTTTTGATGATTTTTGATGGTGTTACTGCTGAAACAACATAGTTGTTATGATATGAAACATTGAAATGTGTGAACAGTGCAGGATTAAACTGCTTTAAGTTACAAGACTGTGAGTTCCCTATATAAGGACTAAAGACAATGATGTTATGCTCCACTAAAGAAACAGACAGATTGACTTACAAAGTAATTCCAGTAAAGGCCTATGAAGAAGTCAGGTTTTGATGTGCAGCTGTTTAAAGCAATTGTAAGTTTGTGTCTGGTGTAAGTCTCTCTAGTTTCAAATCCTATTCCCTCCAGTATCTGAAAATGAGACCTGTTTTAACTTAATATGAGTCATTGTATACCTTTGGTCACATCTCTCCCTTGTTAGGTATATTAAAAAAAAAGCATGTGCCTCTTACAAAGGGGAACTGGAACTGCACAGAGTGTAGCTGTTACTAGGGTACTGCACCTTCTATGTTTTTTTCTGATTTCAAGTGGAAGAAAAGGAAATCTTTCAGTAAGTTTAAGTTGGACTTCAACACATAGATGCCCTGTGAAGAAATTCTTTCTCTTTTTTTAAAACTTTTGAATGTGGGTTGGAAGGTACTGTTTGTGGTTGCCACTAAAGCTCAGTGCTTGCCTGAGCAGTTAGGGTACACCTGGGGCAGGTGTCCCTCTTTTAGAGGGAGGTTTTGGGGAGGTATTGCCCAGTAATTGTGGAGCCTGCTGAGGTATCTCTTCCTGATATCTTGTTCTCTGGTTAAGCAATTAGACTAGAAAGGAACTGTATCGAATGCTGGAGGAATGCTTTTGACTTCTGAACAGGTACTGGAGTGAGTTGCATGGTGAGCAGCAGGTTCACTCTATCTTTCTGTGTGACTTCTTTTGTTTCTCTGAACTTAGAATTACCTCATGGAGGAGGTGAGTTTGGCTGAAAGAGACAATATCTGTACTGTGCTTGATTTTGAGTTAAGGATTCTTGCTGAAATCAGAATTAAGGCTTTCTATAATGCTATCTATGTGATTTATATAAGAAATAATGCTTTCCCTTGTGGTTAAAAAAATTAAAAGGGGGGAGAAAAAAAACTCCCTGACAACCTAAACCACAAATACCTTTTTTCAGCAGAAACCTTGGGTTCACAGTGTGCTGGTAGATTATGCCTTAACATTTGCTACTGCACATCAGGAATGACTGTTCTTCATATTAGCTGCATGTGGGTGTAGCAAGCCTGTTTTCTAATTATACCGTTAGCTCCATGACTCAGCCACGTGTTACCCATGTCCCCTTTTGTTGGGAGGTGTACTCCTGAAGCAGCCAGTGCTGAGCACAGCACATAGCAAGGAAATTTGGAGTGCACATTTTTGTCAAAAACCCCCAATTTTTCTGAATGTGAACTTAACTTCCACAGGTTAATGAATGCATGAAATATAGGGAATATAGGAAATAAGCTTACAACTCATAAGGGGAAGGCTGCTTAGCTGGGAAGGCTGCTTAGCTTTCTTATGTTTCGAAATCAATTCTGTCAGTGTAATCAATTCCATGGAAAGTACAAATTTCTCCTCTGGCTGGAGAGAGGAACCAGCCAATCTGATTTTGCCAAAAATATCAACCACCAAAAGGGTTTCAAAGTCCTAAGGATGTAGGGACTTTAAAGTCTGGACCTCCTGCCAAAGAGGTGACTCCTGACTCTTTCAGAAGCATCTAAAATATGGGTCTTTAGATAAAATATTCACATTTCTTCTTCCCTTCAGTTACTGCTGTAAGGCCTAATGCTTTAAGCATTTTAGTTACTGCTTTAGAGAATAGTTACATACCTCTTCAGTCGTTAGGTTTTTGTCTGGTCCTGTTAGATAGGGGGTGAGAAAAGATTCTGATGGCCTCATTGTGGTGAAAAATCCATTTGCACAGATGATCACCGTGGGATAAATCCAGCTGTGGCTTACGGCTCCCTTCCAGCAATCCATAATTTACCTAAACAACAACAACAACAACAAAAAAAACATGGCAAAGGAAGAATAGATGCTCTTCACAGTTGGCAAAAAATAATTTTCAAGTTTACTTTTTAACTAAACCTGCACTCACTCTTCTGAATCCCTAACCAGCAGTGAGGGCTGTGGTGGCATCTGGTGTAACTGGACTTAGGGGGAGGGGTGGCAGTGTGACAGCCAAGGGCTGCCTGCAGAGGTGACTCAGATGTCTGGCTGGTGTGCAGATGTAACCAAACCACTGAGTTCAGGCTCTCCTCCACTGAGCTGCGCAGCCTGGATCTCCTCTTAGGCAGGAACACCTCTGGGAGTTATTCCTGAGGCTGAGATTCTTTGAGGCAACACATTCTTGGTAAGTGACTAACAGTGTGCTCAGCCTCAAAACCTTGGCTAAGTCGTATAAAGAATTTATTGCACATATTGCACAATCCTTTAGATGGAAGCAGTTGACCAAATCTGGGACTAGGAGTGGATCCAAGCTGCACCCAGGCTCCTCTCTGAGAGGAGTTTAGAACCCAGTGGTTCTAAACCCGGGTCTTTCTGACAGTTTTACCTGATCTTGCCATCTCTGCACAAGCCCACTTTCCTGTTGAGTCTCGTTAAACCGCTGTCACATTTACCACTGAACTTTGTTACATTGATAAAGGGCATTGTCGCTTCTGTCTTGTGAGTGAAGTGCATGGCTCCAGCTGTGCCACGTGCCTAAGCCAATGTTCCCCTCACTGAACCTGCCTGGCATCACAGCTGCAGCTTGGAAATGAGCAAAAAGAATCAAGATACATCAGCCCTGGTAAACTCTTTATTGTCTGTCAAAGGTTGTTTGTAGTGACGTGCTTAGGGCTGAGTGGCTGTGCTGTAGCAGAAGAATAAAGTTCCATTATAGTCTCATTTCTGAATAAATGAGGGGCAAAGTGTGAGGTCAAAGCTCATTCTGTGTGCTCAAGGAGTTTTTTTCTGTTGATTTGCAAATCTGTTTGATTTTTTTGTTGATTTGTTGATTTGATACAATGATCATGCAAATGTTCTTGATGGCAATAAAAGCCATTAGGCAGCTCAACCCATTGAGACCTCAGTTTCTTCAAAATGCTTTAACACTCACCATGTTTCTTGCACTCCAGTCATTGGAGAAGGTAAAGAAACTATCTGCTCATGGTGCCTGCTCAGGCTTAGAATAGAGAACTATTAACTTCACTTTTGAAAGCAATGACCAAAAGGAAAAGGAGGCTTATTTCTTCAGTGTAGGTGGTAGCAAAAAGAAGTCTAGAAAGATTTTTTTAAGTTTTATTTTACTTCTTTTGTGTTAAAAAGTCAATTTTACTGATCCTGAAAATAAGTAAAACTGTTTTCAATCATAAGCAAATGAAAGCAAAGCACTAGCTGATGTTTAATCATGCTGTCATAAGCTGTGTATCTTAAATTGCTGAATTCCACTCTATAGCAGGCACTTCTGAAAAAGTGCTTTTGCTTGCACTGTGAGATGATATCCATTAAAACTTAGTATAAATCGTATCTTATAAAGACAATATTTCTGGGCCCTCAGAGGAATGTTAGAAAAACAGCCCTAACCTTGTAACTTGATTTTTAAAAATTGCTTCTGTCATCTTTCTCTTACAAATAATTGTAAATAAAATATAGTCTCTAGTGTCTTTAACTCAAGACCTTATTTGAAATGTGATAAAAATATAAAAATTAAACCCTGGGCTGATCGGTAACATCTGCATAAATCTTGCATCACCTCCAAATGCACTGAGTGAGTAGCCAGCACACTCCCAAATAACTCCAATGCTGATGAATTACCTGTCAAGACTAGCTGTGGTGCATTTCCTGTGGATTCAGGTGCAGTTCTTCCTAGGATGACTTTGTCTTGCAGAGAAGTCAGAAACCACCCTTTAGAGCTTGTGGTAATCAGAAATTTCTGTAACTTTTTTTTTCCCAAAAAGTTATTTCTGAACTTCATAAAATATTTTCAGAATTTAAATAATAATAATAAAAACTTGTCATAGCTGTTCTTTCGTGCATAACTTGTCCATGAAGTTTGCAGGGAAAGTGTTCTTTGTGGGTTTTGTCAGCAAACTGAGTTCTATTTTTAAGATAAAACTATAAGACTTAGTGTAGCTAATGATTAATAAAACCTGTTGTGACAAGAAAGCAATGATTACATTCTTTCTGTTAATAAATACCTTTAAAAGCCCTGGTCTTTGATTCATGGAGAGGCAGATAACCAGTTTTGCAGTTTGGGCTAATAATGTACTTGTCTCGTGCAGAGCACAGAGGACTCTGGGCTCGTGGGGTCTGCTCTGACTGTCCTGGCTGTGCTGGAGCTTTGGGAGGTAGGACAGCACATGCTTCCTACTATTAGTTGGCCAGGAATTACTTCTGTAGAAGACAGAATCTGTCATTTAAGGGACAGATCTGTCATTTAAGGACAAAGGGATGAAATTCAACTGCTAAATCTAGGTTCTTAGTTAAAAAATTAACAGGCTTGTTTCAGAGAAATGCTGCTGCTTTGCTTTCCTTTACCCATGTTTTTTTAGACTGTACTGCCTGCACCTTCCAAGGTTCATCAGAGGCTGGAGTTCACCCTGAAGCCTTTGGTAGGATGTGTTGACCCTGGGAGCAGAAGCTGAGCCGTGGCAGGAGGGGCCTTTTGGAAGCTCAACAGCCTGGTCTGGTCCTGCAGGTATGGGAGGTTCCCTCTGAGCTGAGGTGTGGTGCAACCAGGCAGGAAGTGCTCAGGGGAGCTGGGCCTCCTCTGCCCTTCATCCTCCTCCCTGGCCAAGGGCTTTGAGGCAGGGAAAGGACCTTGGGAAGGGAAGGTGCTGCTGGGCAGGGGCTGAAAGGGCTGCTGGCTCGTGTTTCTCTGCTAGCCCACACAGTGCTTGGGCAGTACCTGCATGTTTTGAATACAAACACACTATTTGTTCCTTCCTTGTTTGCTCAAACTGGCCTTACCAGCTTGTTGGACTGTATCTTCATGGAAGATTTGTGCCCAAACCCACTAATGTTTCAAAGGTAATTAGTGGTGTATTTCGAGGGGGTTGCAGCTATGGGGAGAAGTGTGCCCAGCTCTGGAGCTGCGTGTTTGCATGGAAACCTTTAACACGTTGGAAGAAAGACGAGCAATACTACAATCTGCTAGGAGAGGTGGATGTGTTGGGAATTTCCTTTTCCTGCAGAACTAGGCAGCCTGTGGTTCCAGCCTTCCTTGTAACCTGCCAAGTCTCAACCATCTCCTCTAGAGTGTGTGTGTGCAGGCACACAAACACACAGGTGCATGTGTACATCTTACTCTTCTAGAAACCTCTGACTGCTGGGTGAGTTCTGATTTGCAGCTGAAAACCCAGGATAGCATAAGACCTTGTCTTTCTCATCCTAGCACTCCTAAGAGCTGCCTTCTTCCTCCCCTATTTTCCCCATAATGCTTCCTGCCAGCTTCCAACCTCAGAATCATTATTTTGGAGATTAGAGAGAATATGAATGGATTCTTTTTTCTTTAAAGTCTTATCTGTTTTCTGAAAATGGTTTTCTCTAAAGCTGCAAGCTAACTACACTGTGTCTGCTTGGTTCCTTTGCTCATCAGTTGCATCCTACAGACACAGAGAGCAGTTAGCTCTAGCCAGAACATAAGAATGGAGCTGAAAACATGAAGTTCCTCCTTTTAATTTAAACACAAGCTCTTGTTAACTTCTAGTCTGAAACTGGCATCTAGTTCTAAACTGAATGCCTCAAAAGAAGATTGCTACTCACAAGGGAGAATAGAAAAATAGTCCTTACTCTCCTGGATTCTGTCCCTGTTTCTTCAGGCAGGAGCATCATGCCCTCAGTTCTGCAGTAAGAAAAGAACTCTCACTGGACACTACGTACATCTCCTACTCTTATGGCTGCATTGGTTAAACTGTTCTGCTTAGAGCCAGTTTACAACAATGTACCCACAATGCACAGGAGTAAACAAAAGGCCTAAAAAATTAGCCAGGTTCATTTTGCCAGAGCCTACTGATTCTTCATGTGACTTGAAACAAATTGCTTCTGTCCTGCCTGCCCTTGCCTCTGGGCGCTTTGTGAAGTTGCAGTGTGTGACAGTGGTATGAAAAGCTGTTATGTCTGTAAAAATGATAGTTTGTGTCTCTACAAGAAAAATATTCTGTAAATGCTATGTAGTTTTTATTAGTTAGATGTAGATATTGGAAGCTAGAAGCAAACAGTGGTACGGAAATAACTTCAGCATATGGATATAGTTCATATTAAATTAGACATTCACTATGCAAACTCTTTTCTAGTCTTTTTTCTTCTCCTGGACTGTCTTTTGGACAAAATTAGCTGTAGGACTTGGAGTTTCTTGACAAACTGAGTTTGGCTGATCCTGCCAAATTCTTGGCCAAGATCAGTGAACCTCCCTCACTTGGCACTCAAAAGCACACATGATGCTTGCTGTTTGTTTCAGTTATAAATCTTCTTGGATATTCCTTTTAATCTGGAATTTTCCTCTGTGGAATCAGCTAAATTTCTCCACAATGTCCTTCTCTGGTTTTAGTCTGTGCTACATAAGCCCCTTCATGCTATTTCTTTTCCTGCTGAAAAAGGAAGACAGTTAGTCCTGAATTTAATTTTACTGGAAGCACAAGCAAAGGAGTGGTGCTCTTGCCTTTTGCTTGGACTCTGAAGTTATTCCCTTCTCGGCAGAGGTTGCTGTGAAGTCAGCACAGTGTTTGTAGCTCTCAAATGTGGGCCAAGCAAGAACTGTGATGTAGCAGTGTTGCAGTGAAGCTCCCAGGACAGGTTGTGCAAGCCCAGCTTTTTGCAGCCTGTGTGCACTGAGCTGTGGGATGAGACAGGAGGAGCCTGTCCCCCATCTGCCTGTACTGGATATGAAAGAATAGAATGATGCAAATGTGATCTTTTCTTCCTTGGTTCAGAACAAGGGCTGTGCAAAGGGGAGTCACACCCTCAGCCACTACATCAGCAAATGTGACAGAAGCAGCTTTGCCAGCACCACATTCAGGAGCTACAATGAGCAAGGCAGGGTGAACTCTGCTCTCTGCCATCGTGCACGGGGGGATGCAAAGGTGGTTGCTTTGATTCTGTGTATAAATTACTGCCCTTAAGCTATTTATATGCATGTAAATAAGAATCTAAAGCAACTTATCCTTTATTCTTGGCACAGTGCCATTCTGGTGAGCTCTCTGCTGGCATATGTTGTGCTGAAGTGCTGGAATGATTCAGCGTAGCTTTTCAGGGCTGAGTTGAATGTTCTTCTTGCACTGCTGTTCCCTGCATGCTGCTCTTCTTCCCTGCTGGGAGCCCTTCTCCCAGGAGAAGCCCTTCTCCAGCCTGCCTGCCTCCTACAGCCGTGTCATGTAGCTTGTGACAATCTGCTCTCTTGACTCGTGCTCAGCCTGGTTCAGCTGCTCTGTGCAAGATCTCACTATTTTCCTTTGGCATTTGCATGAGACCAGCACACAAATGCTTCTGATCATGAAAATCCCATGTATGACTGCGAAGTAGCTGCCATAAATTAAAAACTGGGAGAGGAGGAGAAAAAGGCAGAACAATTAATGAAAAACACATTAGAGAAATGCTGCTTCTTCTGAAGATGACAGTCGCTCTGATTTTCTTCTGGCAGTTTCTCTACACTTGAGTTTTTGCTTTGTGATTAAGCAAAATTTCAACTTTTCAAGTATATAGCAGATAACTGTGAAATGAAGAACTGCCCCTTTCTCCCATTCCTCATGCTCTTAATAAACATCAGACAGGGAGAGAGATAAGAACAGGATATTTTTTTCTATTAATGCAAAATGTAGAAGTACCTTCATTACCCAAACAGTCATGAATAATCTACATGAAGAACCTGAGTTCATCCTTGTTTTGCTTTTGCATGTTTCAATAACTGTCACCACAATGGTTTCAGTAAACACACTGTGATTTTATATCAGTATTTCCAACAACAGTGGCAAGGTATTTATGAAGTCCTACATATTCCTGTCTTTAATTTTAAAGATTTAATGTTTGATTCGATCTTTACTCTTTGAAAGTCACTTTTGCCTTCTCTGTGCAGAGTGTGAACAGCTTTAGTCTTCAGACCCATTAGAGCAGAAAGCTGCCCCAGCTGAGAGCCCATCTGAGGGAAATGCAGAAGTCAGTAGGTTTCAGTTGACTTCAACATGAGTGACACTGGGTTGAAGTTAGGGACACAGTTGTGAGATAGGATGTCCCATCCCAAAAGAAATGCCCAAGCTGTGGGCAGAAGACTCTATTGTACATGTTGAGATACAGACCAGGTTTGCTCCTGAGCTGGAATCAGAAGTTACTTGAGCTAAAATAACTCAAATAATCCAGACTGTGCCTCATAGTCCTGAACACTCATTCTGCATCTGACAAAACCAGTCTGAGCTTTTGGGAAGAGAGGATGGTGTCTTATTAACTACTAAAACTGGTTGGATAGCGGGGCCTGTTATGTTCTGGTGTCTCTCCCTTTGAAAAATAACAGACCAGCATCTGTAATCCTAAATGCATTAAAAGGCAAAAGGGAAGAGTGATGACAAATAGTGATGAAGACTGACAAGTGGAGAACAAGATGTCTGGATTTCTATAGAAGAAAGATAATGAAGTTGTCTTTTGGCATAGGAGTTTTGAAGATGACTTGGCTGAGCAGTAAATAGGAAGTAAGGTAACTGCACTTACTTGAGTCACTATGTCCAGTCCCAGGCCTCTTGAATCTACAACAACTATTGTGAGAATGGTCTGGATCAGCAGGGCAATGAAGTTGTTGAATCCAAACATCAGGGCATAGCGCTCCATGCTCAGATTGACGGCGATCTGGAACCTAACGGGAAACTGGCAGGTCAGTCACTTCCCACTGGGAAAGTTATTGCTGTCTAGCAGTGGATGAAGAGAAAATGATTCATGGAGATGATGCATCAAGGACAGAGGAAATGGTGCTTCATTTGTTTATTTGCTTCAGAAAATGATTCATGGAGATGATGCATCAAGGACCGAGGAAATGGTGCTTCATTTGTTTGTTTGCTTCCTTGCTTTCTCTAAAAAAAAAAAAAAAAAATTTGGTACCATAGTGTATTTCAGTGGTTTTTTTGAACTGCATGGCTAAAAAAAAAAAAAAAGTCTGGGGTACCATAGTGTATTTTAGTGGTTTTTTGAACTGCATGGCTTCTTTTCTAACCTCTGCTTTCAGATGATCAGGTAGAATGTCAGTTCTCTGTACCCTTCCCCTTTGTTCCTTCTCTGCCTGCACAGACTATGCAGGCGAAGTGAAGGCTGTAAAGAGTCTATGGCTGGAAGCTTTCAGAGACCTGGGTCAGTTCTCTGTACCCTTCCCCTTTGTTCCTTCTCTGCCTGCACAGACTGTGCCAGGCTGTAAAGAGTCCATGGCTGGAAGCTCTGAGAGACCAGGCAAAGCTGTGACTTGCTCTGGCACTGGCAGCAGTTCTGCCCTGGCTGGGAGGTCACCCTGGGTATCCTCTAACCAAGCTTTCCATGGTGATGAGTCACATTTTGCTTTGTGATTTGACAGTGGAGGTAACATGCTCCTTATTTCTGTCAAGAGTCTGTAGATTTTTATTTGCAACATCTTTTATGACAATAATCAAAATATCTTTCTTTGCAATATATACCTGCAAAGTTTCTATACAATCAAAAGAGTGTTATTCCTTCAGGACTCATTTTCAATGACTTTAGCTTGCGAGTTTTTTGCAAGATTTCACTTTGTTGGGTTTTTTTAGAATATATTGAAATAGCCCAGGTGTAATTAACTATATTGTAATAACAATCTACCAAAATGACAAGTAAGATCTCACTTGGCTTCCTTCAAGATAGGCATAACCGTGCCATGCATTATAATGTTAGCAACTTTTTTAAATGGTATCTGATTAATTTTGGAGTTTGACACAAAATGCATCCAGTATTTTTGTTAATGAAATAGTGTGGTGTATCTAAAGACATTCCAAGCAAGAAAATGACTGGAGCAATAACATTTTATATTTATTACACGGGATAAAATATTTGTTGTTAATATTATTTATACATTTCTATTTCTGTCAACAGAATAGCTTGGTCTCCTATGAGATCTCATCTGACTTTATATGTCCTATGTTCCCTTTTATTCCTTTACATCTTAATATCATTAATGATTATATGTATAAAATTATGTTGGGGAACACTTTATGTGGAATCTTTTCCTGCATTCATACAGTTCATGGCATGCTAAAAGGTTGATCAGTAGGGGGTCTAGGCATATGGTGATCCTAAAGGATGGCTGTCAAAGTATGCTTGTCCCTATTGTTCACTTTGCATCTTTCATGCCAGGAAGGAGGAAAATGGCTTCTACATTTGCAGTTACCATTGCCTTTAGTAATAACATTACTTTGTGCCTTGTTTAATTTCTGCTTAGGTAAATGTTCTATGTCCTTTTGACAATTTTTCTTTCCTTGTTGTTTGGAAGAATGAAAACAACATAACCAAACATTTAAGTGTTCTTGTCCTTACCTAAACAGTTATGTCAAGCCTTAGGTAATCCACCTCTGAGGAAAAGGATGCCCAAAGCAAACTCAAAGTAGGGTCAGTAGTCTGTGCATGATGGCAGCATTGTGATGTTTTGTACTTACGTTGCTATTGTCAGAAGGAGCACATAGCATGCCTTGAAAATGAGATATCCAGCATAACATGCCCAGATGCTGGTAGAGAAGTGCATGAGAAACAGACAACCAGCATCTATTGCAGAGAAGATCCCTAAAGCCAGTTCTCCAAAATGGTCCCAGTTAATCTTCACATATTGTACTAGGAAAGATGTTACTGAGCCTAGAAAAAGAGAAAAAAAAAACAAGTGTAAATATTGCATGTGCTCCACAGCCTGTAGACCAAGTCCTGCCACGCTCACATGCTGAAAGGCAATGATGAATAATGAAGCACAGTAGTCCGAAGTTTAAAAGCATTTCTGATGACTTCTCCAGCTGTGCAGATGACTGGTCATTTTAAGACAACTGCATATATCAAGTCTCTGCCATTCTGTTCTTAGTGTTTTATTCCACTTCACAGGATACACTGTAATGTAGGAGGATTCATTATTTAGGTGTCTGTGCACAGCATGGATCTCTGGGGAGATAATTAGGAACAATTAGGTTTGGAGTTCAAGAAGGAAATTTTTCCACCTTCTCCTAGCTAGGCTAGTGAACCTTCTATTGAATAGTTTAGCTCTGTGCACCTCAAAGAGGGGGTAAGCTGTCCAAAAAGTGAGTTTTGAGGTATCAAGGAAGTATATCCAAGGAACAAGAAAGGATAGGTTTTCTTCTGTGGGCCTCCTAGAACGTTGCTATTGCTTCGACAGCTCCGTTGTACACGGCGGAGCTGTGCGAGGGGGCCCGGAAGTCCCACAGCACCTGGACATAATTCAGCACCTGGTTGAAGCCGGCCGTGGCCAGAGCCCACCACAGGGACCAGTAGAGGAGCTGGCGGGAGCCGTAGCATTGCCTCAGGTCCCTGCCCAGCTGCAGCAGCACGCTCAGCATGTGCCGCAGGGGCCCGGCATTGCCAGCCTGGGGCTGGGGGCCCGCGGCCCTGGCAGCAGGATCAGGGCTCCTTTCCTCTTGGCAGCTGGAGGGCCTGCGGGCAGCACTCACAGGCAGCCCCTTGGCAGGCCCTGGCACAGGCTCGGGGGCGTCTTTCCTGTGGAAGAACATGCTCCTCTGGGGCATGGGCAGGAAGAAGGCGCACAGGAACGCCAGGGACACGGAAGCCAAGGTGATGGCGTTGAGGTGGAAGTAGGACACGCCTGCTAGGGACACCAGCAGCTGTCCCAGCACGGCGGCCACGGTGGCTGCCACCAGAGTGACACTCCTGCAGTAGCTGGTGACCCTCTGGTAGTGCTGGGTGCTGACCACGCTGTAGATGTAGGCGTAATAGGCCACCTCGGTGGCTGTGACCATGCCATAGAAGAATTCCACCAGCTGCATGGCCAGCACTCCATGTGCAAAGAGCAGCAGGAGCCACGTGACGATGAGGCTGATGCCCTGCAGGAGGAGGACGGGCTTGTAGCGCACGTAGTCTGTGAGCAGGAACACTGGGAAAAGGAGAGCGAGGTAGGAGTATGTCCAGACTGGCAGAATCTGGTTGGTAACCTGGAACAGAAGAGAAAATGTCAGTGTTCTTATTGCTGAGGAAAGGAAGTTCATGTATTTTAAATGGTATTGTAGAGGGAAGTTTTTTCTCTGAAGGAATTAATAAAATATATAACCATATTGAATCAGCATGGGACTGTTGGGCAGGCCAATGTATCTTAGATCCGTTAAATGGATCTTTTATTTATGCAGTCTACTGCAAATTGTAACCTGTCACAGCTAGTTAAATTTGTGCTTTTTTTTTCTTTTCATCTTTTAAAAAAAAATTTAAACAGTGTTTTCCCTTTCTATTTTCACTACTTCAGTTAGAAGAAATCATAGAATAAAATCATACCTCATCTATGGTCAGGTTTTTATCTGGTCCTGTTAGATAGGGTGTTAGGAAAGGTTCTGATGGTTTCATCATGTAGAAGAATCCATAGAGGCAGAGGATCAGGGTGGGAAAAGCCCAGGTGTTGGTTTTCTCTTGCTTCCAGCAGCCCATGGCCTCTGCAGCAAAGCCGAGGATAAAGTTTGTTAGAATAATGATACTGCCCATGCAAGTGCAAAGAGATCTTGTACTTGATTTTCATTTTTTTGGTAATTAATGGCAAGTAGTATTCTTTAGAGGTTGACAGTTCAAAATATTTTTTATTTATAATGTTAAAGTGAACAGCTATTCCTTACCTTTGTCTGCTGCTCTCTTTGTAGAAGTTGCATAAAAAATGAATTGGAAGATCCTTAACTGGGAGACAAACTACCCTGTCATTCCATCTGCCCTGTCCAAGATAAACACAGGAAAAGCCTTTCTAAATGGAAGTGGCTGAAGTCAGCTGAGCACTGAGATTTCCCTTGACACTGTGACTGATCACAGCCAAGCACCTTGCTGAATGACAAAGATAACTCTGGAGCCTAGCAGATGGAGCTGCTAAGAAATAAAGGAAGGATACTAAGCTAGACTCTCATCTGGAATTATCTGCATAAAAAGTCCATTTTGGATACAGACATCATATTTTCCATCTATAAAAGTGGCCACAGAAGGTTAACAGTTCATGCTGAAATGAAATGAAGCAGGTATTTTTGTTCTTGTCACTAGGTGAGGTGATGGAATAAATTAAAATTTGCAACTCTGCTGGACAGCCCAAACAAAAGTCAAAATGGATGTAATGGGGACATGCAAAGGAAATAGACAGTAAGTTAATATCCATATTCATGTTAGTATAGGCAATGTCAAGAATCTTAATGTGTGCAGTTTGTCTTTTGGAGCTCTTTGGACTTTGCATATTAGCAGACGGGATTTCTATCACTGTGCTTTTGACTTTTATCTACTTCCCTCCTGATAACTCTTTCTTTTTGGGCAAAAAACAAATCTTATAAAAATAAGTAGAGGAGCTGGCGGGAGCTTAAAAATGAAGTCGTGTTTTTTCACAAACTTTTTTGGTAAAAGCTGAAGGAAGGTCTATTCAGCCCAAAGCAGTCATGTCCTAATGAGTATATCCCTCCAGACTGGATGGGCAGAGGATCCTTTTTTGTAGGATGTGATATGTACAGGGCAGTAGGCATTATGCATCTTCTTTTCTAACTCCATGCTATGACAGCACATTTTACTGGCAGCCTGACACGCTAAGAAATGGGTGCAAATCCAGGGGAACTGGAATTATTTCCTTTGGTGCATAAGGGCCGAAAGCATGGGCATTACAGGATTGCAGCAGAAACGATCCCAGCTCTGTGCAGCTCTGCAGTGTGAACCACTAGATGGCAAGGTGGCCCCAGCAAGGCAAACCAGCTGGGGAGGACTGAGAGGCACTGAGCGCTCCAGGAAGGAAGCATTCCTGCCCCTCCTTCCTCCCGGCTGTTGGAACATCAGTCTGCTGCAAACGTGGATTTGACAGAACCAGTTTGGGCCCTGCCCAGGGTCGTGCTCACTGAGTCACCATAACATCCCCTGGCTCTCCTCCCAAGTGGTAATCATTAAAGCCATATGGCACCTCAGTGCCATGGGAATGCTTCATGAGATTCTGAGAAAGAAGAGTGGGGTGGAGAGCATCTCTAGCACTGTAATGAGAAGCATTTGTACAAGTCAGTAGCCAGGGCATATTTTTCCCTTTCCAGCCTAGATTCTCTGCTCTGGTCTGTTTGAGGTCTTGCCCTGTTTGCTCACCCCTAGCAGGCTGTGTGACACAGGGGCAGCAAGTCTCATGTAGCCTGTCAAAATGTCACACCCACCTTGGGAGGTGAGTGGGGCAGCTGCTGCCTCTGCAGAGCTCACAGGCTGCTTGTGCTGCCCTGGGATGCTGCCCCTGGGTGGCAGAGCTTTGCCATCCTGTGCAGGAGTTCATGGTTTCAGCTGTACACAGAACTTCAGGTGTGTCCTGGTCACTGCATCCCTACCGTGCCAGCTGTGCACTGTTTAGGGTTTTGGGCTACACCTGTACCTCCAATCTGCACTTCTGCTCTTTGAGCTGCCAGTGTTAGGCTGGTAGGTGAAGTCAGGTGAGAAGTTTCCCACTTGATACAAGGAGCTGTGCAGAAAAAATACTGTCATGGGTGCTGAGCTGGGAGGGGCAGAAGGCTCTCAGGGGCAGCCCACTCTGCCCTTGGGGCGTTGGAGATGGTGTCACCTCACCTGCCCTGGGGTTTGGGTTCCACTCACACCCCAGCCCCTGGTGAAGCCCCCTCCAGCTGTAGAAGCCCTCCTTTCTGCATCCGTAACCACAAACCTCTGACAAGCAGAGCTCTGCCTTGCTGCTTGAGGGGGAAGGATCCAATTTGTTCCTGGTTCAGTCATCCCATGTGGTCAATCTGTCTTTTATAAATCTAGGGGTTTTTTCACTTTGAAGAGATTTTAGGACACTGTGGTGTTGTTCTACAACAAAACAATCCTCTGTTTCTTTTTTCCTTCAGCAATTCTTGGTGCCAGAGCTGTCAGCTCTTCTACACACAGCCTAACACAGTCCCCCAGCTCCCCATTGGATTGCTCTCTTCTTTCCACCCACTTTCCCTTGTCATTGCAGGATTTCATATTTCTAAAGTTCATATATAATCATACCTTCTGTGCTGGAGCTCTTCCTTTCTTACTTCCAAGGGAAAAGCCTCCTTTTAGTACTCCCAGTCTCACTTCTGGCTGTCCTGTGTGTATTGCAGCTACTGGACTCTGTTTGGGTTTTGTGCTTTTCCTGTTCTTCTGGTGTTACAGCTTGCTCTGACACCTCCTTTGGAAAGGCCTCCAGCTGGCTTTCTTTCAGCACCCTTAAAGGAGCAGCCAGATAATCCTGGCCTGTCTTTGCCCCAAGGCAGCAGTGAATCAAGCCCCAAACTACAGTTTAGTGCCTGACTGGCACAAAATCAATAGAGGAAGTTCTTTTCCCAAAGATTTTGGGTCTATTTGACAGGATATGTGGCTTGGGAGCCATCTGTGCCTCAAACTGTCCTATATTAAAGAGGGAGCAGTAGCTGTGTGTGGGTAGTTGCAGAGGTGAGGGTGAGCAAATACCACTGCTCTAAGATTGGAAGGTATCCACACCACTCAAATGGGGTTTTAAAGTATGCTGAAAAATTTAAAAGGTAAAAAGTAAAACACCCTGCTCTTCTTCCTCTTGAATTATTTGCTGGCAAATTTGTCAGATTTTTTTTGCTTTGACAGGTTCCTACAGTGCTGCAGAAGATGGGGATAGCTGCCCTATGGCCAGCTTCAGAAGATCTGTGGGACTCATAACAGCGGAGTATACTCTGTGAAATGTACAGATTTTCACAAAAAGTAGTTACACAAATTTAGATCCACTCCCACCCTGGTCTCACAGCATGTAGGTCTGGAATGAGTGATGTAATAATCATTTAGGAATATGACTGATACAGTAGGAAAATATGTGAATATTTGTAAATAACAGTGAATTATCCAACCAGAGGAAGGCAGCATCTTGGTTCACACACAGTAAAACGGAACTGTAACTTTATAGACATGTACATGAATATGAAAAAGGTATGACATTCCTTGCTGGGTCAGAGAAGTGTCTCAGATCAGCCACCTTTGTCTTCACTCTTGGCCAGATTTTGCAGCCTTTGTTTTCTGCCTCTCAACAATCCAATATTGCAGAATTAGTGATGTTAGAGGGGCCGTCCCTGCCTCTTGCCTTTACAACCTGTTTGTTGGACTTTGTCCATGAAACCATCTCCTCCTGCCTGGGAAAGTGCTGTGCACTTCTGAAGTCATAAACCACCTAGAGCTGGGAGGGAGCCATAGGGATCATCATGTTCCACTCCCTGCTCCTCACAGGACTATCTCCAGCTGACCCATGTGACTCATGGTGCATCATCAGACACTCCTCACATGCTGGCAGCATCTGCAGTGTGTGTGAAACTAACGCATGGAAGGAATGTAATCATTCCTTTGGGCTCTTTCCCAGCCATCAGTCACTGCTGACACTGATTCCAGAGCTATCTTGGTTCTTCCTGTTCCATTGACCCTGTAGCTACAGGAGGTGACAGCTCCTCTGAGAGAACACTGAGCCTACCTGCGTTTGGTTTTATTCTCACGAACTCTTACTGAAATGCAGGGAACTCCTGAGGCAAACAGAGTTACTTGGGGTTTGCATTGACTTACTGCAGAATCCAACTCAAATTTCTTGACACTGAGAAAAACTGCAAAACTCTGTTTTTCCTGTAATGCAATAATGAGAAAGAATGATTTAAGTAACTTCCAGGCATTGATGTTTGGTTTCCCTGCTTTCAGATCCTCCTTTATCCTTTATTATCTCTTCTTTCCCATAGTCTTCAACCCATCTTGTTTGTAGTTAAAATCTCATGCTTTTTCACTGATTCACTTCTGAATGCCAAGTGTAAAATTGTGATGAGTTTATGCAAGTTTTTGGTCAACTTGAGCCCTATGCCATAAGCTGCCTGCAGCAGAGCTTGGCTATTGGATTTGAAGGGAACTACACTCTTTTCACCAAGAGTAGACAGATGCAGAATTGTTGTTCTTGGAGGGTGGGCTGGGTGATCTGTTTCTAGCTGACATCCCAATTCTGTTCACTTGGGAAAGGGGAGATTCTGTAAGAGTGGAGCAAAGGTGAGTGTTATGGTAGTAGAGTATCCTGAAGAGTTAATATAATATGGTCATTAATGAATCAAGGAGATAGAAAATTCAGGGAGGGGAAGAAAGGCAGTAAAAGAACAAGACTGAAAACCTCTGTCATCCTGATACTGTCTCCTGCCTCTGCTGCCCCTTGGACTCAATCCTGCTATTATCTCTGGTGCTTCACAGGACGGCACCAAGGCTGAAAGGCTCATGTGGGCAGCGTGAGGTGTCTCTGTCTGGCTGGGCACTGACTGTCAGCTCACACATCACATCTGCTTCTTGACACCTGCCCAACTCAAAGAGGCTTCTTCAAATCAAACTGATGGCTTATTCCATTTGAAGAATGTGTACTTTGCTCTCTAAAGGAAGGGAGTAAAGAAAATTTTCTGTGGCTAATACTGAAGATTTTTCTCCATTTGTGGCAAATTACCGCCCATGCACAGAAAAGTTCTGATGGCAGTTATAAATAATAAAGTGTATTTTTGTTAGATTTCTCAGGCCCAGGAGTATTGACAGGACAAATTCACTTTCTGTCTTACAGATCAGCAGATCTTTATCTTTTCTCATGTACTATGTGCTCACTTTGCAATGAGCTTCTCCCTGCAGCCTAGCCCTGAATCCCACAGTGTGTGGGTGAGAGTT